AGAAAGTATATGTGCATCCATAATCAATATTATAAATGTAATGATTTTCGCTAGCCTCGCATACGACATGGAGAGAGTGAAGATGCTGGAGGAAGAACAGGAGATGCTGAACTCATCCCTGATAGCTTTAACTACTCACTTTGCTCAGGTGAGAAGGTCGAGAACGAGCTCACTTTGCAATCGCCGTCTTGTACTTGTGTGTTAATTAAAGAAATCCATACGTAGGTCCAGTTCCGTCTCCGACAGATTGTAGACGCGCCAGCCAGCGAGAAGGAGACGCTGCTCAAGGAGCTGGAAGAATTCGCGTTTAGGGGAATACCGGATGTGCCGAATAACTTACTGTTAGAGAGCAGATCTGTCACGCCAATCTCCCCTGTTTCCTGTGGTCGAAGTGTAAGCCACTAGAAAGCCAACTTTCTACAATTTTTCACTATAAGCGAATTTTCTACCGTACTATTATTATTACTTTTTGATAGGACTGTACTTTATATAACTTTGAAAGAACTCGAATTTTCAAAGTTACCTGAAAGTTCGAAGCACTTTTGATTTTGAAGGTCCGGAGTTAACTAAGAATTTTCTTAAAAATTCTGGATTTTTAAAGCTGTAAAAAATGAGTCCTACTTTATGGTACCCTTAAAATTTTTTTTGTTTTGTTTGGCGACATTTTTGTTGCTTTGGCATATTTTTTATCGTTTTACGTATACTTTCTAGTTATTTTAAAATCATTTTTATATTTTATTCTTCTTTTATTCTATTTACTTTATATATTATGTACCTTGTTGTGTTTATATACGATATATTTATGTTTTCTGCTCTTTTTATACTATCTCTAAATATGCAATAAAAGTTTTCCACATATTTTTTCTCTATTTATCCATTTTATTTTAATACCTTCACACATCCGATCCTTCACTCCGATCAGTTGCAGATTATAGTAGTACGCTTGCGTTTCTTGTCACAATTAAAAAAATTTCTTTCAGCTGTAGCACAACAAACTATGTAGGGGGATATTTTTCCACGCGGCTATTCATTTAATTTTAACAACTGCTCTATCACTTAATAGCTCTTTAATCGCGTCGGATGTAACGTAACTATAGGTGACTGGTGTGATTACTGACGCGGAGGTCGAATCCAAAATGGCATTGCAACGAACGAAGCAGAGAGAACTGATAAGCCAGTTGAAGTCTCAGTTGGAGGATCTGGAGAAGTACGCCTACGAGACTGGCGACGCCGATCTACCGCAAAGCGTCATCCTGGAGAGGCAAAATATCATAATCAGTAAGTGCCAATTGATCGCTGATAGAAAATCTGCATTGCAAAGGGAAAGAAAATAAAACAATTGACGATGTTTGTAGGTCATCTAAAGGAAAAATTGAACTTTGATGTCGATGATCTATGCAAATTACCGGCGGATGATCTCAGGTGGCAAGTCGATTACGCCATAAGTCAAGTAAGTGTAAAGCGATCTCGAGATCAACGCTTATTGTTAGTCCCAAAGCTACCTGATGTTCTTTCATCAATTTTTGGCACATAAATTTCTTCTCAGTAGCTAATAAATTTTTAAATAATTAACACGATGAAAATAAAAAACAAATTAGAGAGAATAAGTTTCCTCTTCTCAGAAGAAAATAGATTAATCCGCGTATATTTTAATTAATTTCTAATTTACTTAATAAATATATAAAGTCGATTAAAGCGATTAAAAAAACGATTCTCCTACTATAGAGAAATAATTTTTAAATAAGTCGATTAACAAGTCATGATTGTTGGGAAGCTATTGTGAGATGCTATTTAAAGCAACTGCATACATCCTTTGTATTATAGATTGTCAGCCCATTGAAAATGAAGGAGCAGCTGGTCTCTCAGTTGAAGACGCAGATCGCCGACCTGGAGCGTTTCATAAACTATCTTCAGGGAGAAGTCAGCACGGAGACTTTAGCGTGCACGTGCGCGTGTCCAGTACACGCTGGTGGTTCCGGTGCATCATCAGCTTCCTACGGCTCCAAGCGGCGCTTCGAACGTGGAAGATCCATTGAGGAAGAAGCGGCTAATCGGACCAAAACTCTAACTGTACGCAAGGTGGTCGCGCTTCTGCACATGTTCCTGATGTCGCAGCTGGGTTGTGGCAGCGAACGGGTTCGGCGGAACTTCGGCGGTAACAGCAGGAACCCGGCGCACAATTGGCGCGATCTGCGCACCAGACTGGACATCGCCGTGGAGCACGTACTGGAGACGATCGCGGAGACGTCGCAACAGCTGCAACATCATCCCGACGACGAGGATGATATCGACGACATCGACGACAACGAGAACGATTACACGTCCGACTCGGACTCGCCGTCGCACGCAAACGCGAAGCTCACGTCCGCCGTGAGGAAACACCTCGCCACTTCGGTCAAGGATCTCGTGCAGCACGGCCTGACTGCGGACGTGATGCGTTCCGGGTCCAGCGTGGTGCCATTCGGCAGCTGCTTTCCGCAACGCGATGTTACGTCGGCGAACTTCATGCACGCTTGGGAGTTGATATTGAAGTACTATGAGATAAAAAACGGACGTTGTTACAATTCCAGTCCCGCGCAGAAGTTGTCGCAGAGCTTCAATCTGGACCTCGCAGCTGGGAGAATAGCTTCTTCGAAACAGGTAGACTCTCATACCATTCTCATCTCTAGGCGAGAGATTAGAGTATTCAGGAAACTAACGCCAATTAATGAGAAGAGATGAAGTAGACAATAAATTCTTGATTATTGTAATAGAGTTTTTGAAGACCAACTTCTCTCGCCTATATATCCAGCAGACAAGAGTGGATCAAAATGGATTGAAATTTTTTTCTATCCAAATGCATATTTTAAATAGCGAATACTTTTTTGGGATTTAATTGGATTCAATTGGA